CTTACCGTTTACTTTAACTGAAAAATTCCTTTGAGTATTTCTGCCAGCGTTGCCAACTGGCAACTGTGATTTTGTAAACATCGCGGACTTTCGCGGACATTTATATTTCTGCATTGGTCCGCATGAACGACAGTTTCCGAAGTAAAGTCGACAGTTTCCGTCACAACTCTTACACTTTTAGCGTTACATAATGGCTAGCCCGCGAACGGGCTAGCCACAAAAATTGTTCTGACGGCCGAGAATTTAGGTTTTCTTGCATTAAATTCCTATATTCCTGTGGTGCCATTTTCCTCGCCCCAGTCATTTTTTCCGGTGCTATTTTTTCCGATGCCATTTTTTCCTAAATTCCGTCAAACACGCATTAGATTACATAACTCAAAATAATTAGAGCAAAACCGGTCTTTTGTTAATAGAAATTGGTGACATAATCGTGCCCGTCATCGATCCGTGTCGTTGAACAATGAAAAAATTTGCTGTGAAATTAGTCAAGATAAAATGGCAGTTTGTGAGAAAACTGCGGGTCTACGGAGCGGGAACTTTTCGGATTTGAACTCAGCGTGTTCGAAACCTATGGAGTATGGTTCGAAAGTGTTAGTTCCCGTAAAAATATATCAGATCTAAGACATGCTAAATGGCATGTCTAGGCATTTTTTCGAGCTCACAACACACGGACAGTAAGAGAAATATATAAAGTGAAATAAATAATAGTAATTGAACATCAAATACTCGTATCAATTGTTTTTGAATATGGAAAATCTACACTCTACAGTAAAAATCAGACACACAGACAGGAAACAGTGACATCTGAAACCTAGCACAACCACATAGATCTAGATATGAAGTCTTGAAGTCTGTATGTTAAAATACTATACACTCATGAATATTATGTGATTTATGTCTCATACAAATGTGGGAGTGCGTATTGAAAAACAGTCTGCGAGTGTATGGAAAATCTACAGTAAAAATCATGCAGTCATGCACACAGCCAGGAAGCGATGACATTTGAAACCTAGCACAACCACATCATTTGCCAGTCTAGTTAATATACTTATTTTATAACTTATAAGGCCCCAGTTTTATACACGATACCCGATTCGTATTGGCATCAAATTTTACTGTTTCAAGGTGAGTTCAACATGATAACATAAGAAAAGACTGCGAAGCGTCTTAAGTTGATGCCGCTACGATGGGAATCCGGTGTCGTGTCTGGGGCCTAAAAGGCTCACTCATATACCAGTACACTCATGAATATTTATACTAGTATGTCTCTCAGTCTCATAATATATTAAAACGCGCAGTAACTTAAAATGCACACTATATATATACTGATGGTTAACGTTTTCAATACGGTAAATCTACAGTTAAAATCATGCACACATACTGCCAGGAAGCAATGAGAACCATGGCAATACTCGCTGCATGTGTAAAATATTAAATATCTCTAGATTCTGTATGTTAAAATACATCGTGCCCTTGATCTGAGCAATAGTAAAGTCTTACGTCCTCCGCAAAGGCTTTTTTGTTCTTATTTTTTGCGCAGTAGTTTGTTCTTATTGAATACAAGTTAGTGAGAAGGAAAGAGAAATGTGAACCCTGGTTTGGTCTCAGAAGTTTGGTCTGATCTTGGTCTGATGATACTGATACTGTGACACCATGATTGGCTACATGGGGTAAACGATGCCAATGAGAATGAATGTTCCGAGCGTTTACTGCTGTGCCTGTGATTACTACCACCAATGCATGATGCACGGCCAAGCTCTTATTACATACGCGCCCGGTCCTCTTTTCGGTCACGAGATGTGCTGACGTAACGAGGCTTGGTTCAAGCTTGGTTCAAGTTCCCTAGCTGTTAACCTTTGTATAAGCATAACCTCATCTTTAGTCTATTATTCGTAGAAGACTAAAATAATAATTGCTACAATAAGAATAATTGCAAGCAGCAGTAATTTCCAATTTGTTTTTTCAACTCATGCTTAATTTGGTGTCGTTCACTAATTTCACTGTTTTCACTGTACGTCGACAACATCAGACTCCTCGGTAGAACGTGAACTTTGGAAGTCGATTATCGCAAAGTAAAAACAGTCGTTTAATACGCATATGTTTAGCTAGTATATGCTTATTTTTTTGTAAATCGTAGTCATAGATCTAGAACTGGATTCGTCAAAGCACGGTCAAAGCGGTCTCTTAGCAAGGCTAGCTAAAAGCTACTGTTAAAGGCTTCATAATTCAAACTGTATATTGACTTTTATTTATTGAATTTATTTCTGCGAGCTTTCGGATATCAGTCTATAGAGTATAGGAGTATAGCCTTCGACGGGTGTATTCAAATGATTCTAAAATATCTAAAGGACGCTAAACTAAGTAGGTGGTATGAAATCTGAAACTATCAAATTAGAGTTATTATGAGCTTCGTCTGTTAGTGCAGTGTGCCAGGACAGGACTCTAAGGTTTTAAGGTTCCTATAATTTCCTTTGTCTATTACCAAAAAATAAAGCGACTGCTACGCAGGCTAGAGTCCCTGCGTGTTTCGCGACATTCGACCCCTTCTTGCTTTGTTTCACATTCCTTATACGTGTTCGGACTTTCTCGTCTTCAGGGATCTTCAGTTTCGCCTATGACTATATGTAGCTCCAACTATACAGTCCTGACACGGTAATACGGTATACAATGAATGTATATTGACTATTGTATTCATATTGTTTAATATAGTTTCTTAAAAGGCAAATTGACGCGCATGGGCGTTACGGAAGGAAAAAATTAGGGGGGGGGAAGAAAATTTGCCAGACTTTTCCGGATTGTGCCCGACCTGTACCGAAAATATTTTTCCCGGAATGTATTTTGGCGACCCCCCCCCCCCCCCCTTTAGGGGTCAATACCAAAATTATCGGACATACCAAAATTTTTCGGAACATCACACAAATTTTCGAAACATCACAAAATTGACCATAAAATTGACAGAATTTGTCCCATTTATTTTTATAATAAACCAAAATTGCCCGACTGTTGAGCGAATATTGCCCGACTGCCCAACAAACTGGGGGGCTGCCGCCCCCCCCCTGCCCGGTACGCCCATGTTGACGCGGCAATGGTGGCCAATACGAGCGGCATAAACGCGTAGCCTATACGGTGTATACTTGACGAAGGGCCTTCGCTCGAAACGTCGAGTTTCTGCTTATTTTTTAAGGTAGTAACATAACCACTCAGCACAGCATTTATACGGTGTATATCCCAGCAGAAACACTTATTACTCAATAGCTGGAGTAATACGAGCAACATAATTGCTGCAACTTGCAACAAAATCTGATTTCGACGCATGTTAAGTAGAAATGTTGACACATGTTGCCTCGTGATTTGTAATTTATGTGTAAACATTTTCGATTAACATGCGTAGAAATCAGATTTTGTTGCAAGTTGCAGCAATTTTGTTGCCCGTATTACTCCACCTTGATTGTCGTAACGGTCATAAAGATTGAGTCACGATCTTTCACAAGAACTGAAATACAACAGTTTAACACTGATAATAGGCGGATTATAAATAGAGAACACTCTCCTCCGCAGAGGCTTTGTAGTTTGTTTTCTTTCTATGAGACTGGGTTTGTTTTCTTTCTTTCTATAAGTTTGACTTGCGGGCAGTAGCGGGCTAGGCAGAGAAGTGGAGCGAGCGCGCGGGGTTAAAAGGGGGCATCGTGGACATTTGGAGATAATAGGGAGTGAATAGAGAATACTTATATGATTTATGTACTATTTAAAACACGATCAGAAGTGCTTTATCAGATATAAAACTCGAGGCAACAGCCGAAAGTTTTATATCTGATAAAGCACTGACTGCGAGTGTTTTAAATGGCTTAAAAAAAGACCCATCTTATGAGTTTATTGGCGAAGTAATTTTAAAAATAAACGTTGTCTAAGTCGAGAAAATCGAAGCTAAAGTTTACAAAAATTTTTTATCAGATATAAAACCATGATAGTGGGGGGGGGGAAATCTCGCCCCCCCCCCTCTAGCTAGGCCCCTGCCCTCCTCTCCTTCTAAAAAATGAATGCGCCCAACCGAAACTAAACGGGAAGCCATTCTGTTTTTGTCCGGAAGTGAATAGTGCAAGGATATCCATGAGAGCAACCAATCAAATTGCGTGAAAAGCACTATTCACCTCCCAAGTATATGCTAAATTTAATACTTTATTCAATTTGCAGTTTGTCTTTGATTTAGTTTTGGAAAAGATCACAGTATGTTCAGCAAAATTCTATTCGCTTTGGGAGTTGTGTTGGCTATCTCAGCTTTGGGTAAGAAAATTTACAAATTTTCAGTGATTAAATCACAATGCTTGATAATGTTCCTTGCCAGCAATATGCAGTTATCTGAAAAGATGTGGGAAGCGATATCTTTCAAGTTACATAGGATAATGTAATTGCTTGATAATGTAGCTATTTTAAACACGTCGCAATCCGATTTGCAGAGATTTTAACAGACATTAAAATCTCATCTCATCATAAATATTTTGACTTTAAAATTGACTGATTGAATTCAAAAGGTACTCTATCCAGTTTTAGTCTCCAGGTCAGTGGGATGACCCCTACCGGATCTCTGGATATAAAACAGTTTAAACTGACAGAGACAAGAGGGACACTAGTTGCACTGCTTGGACAGACTGTAAAATTTTGGCTTTGGAAAAAATTAATTCCCTGCGCAAAAATTCTTGCAATTATGGAAATCTGCGCATGCAAAATGTTTCAAATTGTAAATAACTGCAAATAATTTCTGAAGAATCTGCACAAAATGCTTTGTGAACCTAGACGATTTCTGGTCTTCCTCTTTAACAAAAGCACTTTCTGACCTGCAGGATTGCCTGGTCTGCCATAAATGTTCTATGAAAATATCTGCGCAACTTTCCCAAGGAAAAACCATTTCCTGCGCAAAATAAAACTTTTCAGTTCTGGCTGCTGGGGGTATAATAAGACAATTTGCAACTAATGATCTACTGAATGTCTTTTTTTTGTTTTAGCGAGTGCTCTGATATGCAATAAATGTTTATACTGGACATCACAGCCAAAAGAACAACAAAAATGTACTAATGACACATCCATCTGTCAATCCAATTATTGTTTAACATCATCTGTTATCTACCCAAATGGCACAGAAGTTGTTAGAAGAAGCTGTGACGAAGCGGAGCTTTGCCAGGATCCTGAAAAAGGGTGTAACCGTGCAACAACAAAATCGTGTGCTTTTGATTGTTGTAATACATATAATTGCAACAATTATACCCCCAGCAGTGCAAGTGGTGCCCCTAGCAGTACAACTGGTGTCATGGTGACCAAGTTTACTCTTTCCTTGATGGTGATTGTTGGTTTTATTTTTGCTTGACTTAATGTACTTTACGTTCTGTGTAGTTTTACTTAAATTTACTTAATTCAATTGTTGTAATTTGCCTGAACGTAATGAGATTATGTGGTAAACTGTGTGTTTAAAATATGTAGCGTTATAGGTGACTATGTAATAAATTGATAAAAGGTAAAATCGATTCGTTCCTCAAGGGGCATGTGTAATCAAATGTACTAAATAAACTAATTTTGAACTAAAGTGGAGTAGTTTTGTGTGTACTGGGTTGTTCAAAATCAGTTTTACATTTTCCAACCTATAGTCAAGTATAACAGTTCTCTCATATTGGCCTAGTGTTTAAACTAACTTTATTTATGCTGGCTAGTCTTAATCAGCTTTAAACTGTTCTCCCTAGTCCCTAGAGAACAATGTCACTACAGGAGGCAGCTAAAATTCAACTAAGTTCATTTATTTAGTCTTTGCAAGGCTACTGCTACTTACCGTTTGTATGCCACAAAATTGCAAAATTGTAACAAGTTATGGAAAAAACACACCAATGAAGACAAATAAAAATGATTGCGTGTATGAAATTCCGCCATATTGTTAAAGATGGTTTGTTTAAAATTATTTTCGTATCTCGCTGAAAATAATACGATATAAAAATATTGGCCTTTTTGGTAAACAATGATATATGGTTCTGAAAATCTTCATGTGTCCTCAAAAGTTTCCGTCTTTTCCACCCTCGAAAACATCGTTGCAGCATTGATCTGAAAATGTTTTTATCAAATATTTTCCTGTTCGAAAACAAGAAAAAATTCTTCTGCGACAAAACCGTTTGCGAACAAAAGGTTTCATCATTAAGAATTAGTTTTAATAAAGAATTCTATACAACATTATATACACACACGTGTGCTATTTATGAAAATAGAGCCCCGCACATAGCGCAATAGCCAATTACTTTGGAAACACTTTTGTCATCTTTGCGTTCACCAGTTTCTCTAAGCACTATCGGTAGCAAATGGCGGTAAACCAGCAGTTATCAAAGTGAGAAATATGGCCAGAAATCACGGACATAATTTATTCTACTTCCTTCGTAATTTGATTACTACGTTGAAATATGAAACAGTGAATTATAGAACGCGACGTCCTGGTAACTAACTAAATAACCGCATGGACCGCATGGTTAATATATATATTTACGTACCATTTTAACTTTTCAGTGACTTCTCTGGCTTTTCACAACAGTAAACTAATTCACATTTTTACTTTTTGTTTTTGGCGGGAAATCAAATAACAAAACAAGTTACCCTTGGCACTCAGGCAGTCAGGTTGGAACCTGCAAGTAGGTCGCATTATGATCATTTATATAACTTTATAAAAATAGTTATCACTGCTGTATTAAATATACAACTATTATCTGCATATCTTATTTGCAGGATGAATGTCAAATAGTTAAAATTTACAACTTCAAAGTAGAATAATTAATGAGAATAATATAAGAAAATATAAGAACATTTTTGCTCCAAAAAAATGTTCTTATATAATATAAGAACATATAAGAACAACTAATATAAGAACATTTGCCAACCCTGGTTCTGCAACCAGGCAATTGAGGCAAATTGCAAACGACCTATTGTATTCTCTGATTTTGCGATTTACATGCAGCCTCTCGTAATACAATTTACTGTTTACTGCAGAAGCCATATTTCAACACTACAACAGGTTAAAGCCTGGTTTCCGTATGGTCGTAATGATCGTAAAACTAGAGTCACGATCTTTCTCGCCAGTTTATAATAGTTTATACCTGTAAACCACATATAAATCGTAAGTATTCTCTAGTTATAATCACTCCGCGTATTTTCAGTTCTAAAATGTTGTATTTCGGCTGATGAGAAAGATCGTGACTCAATCTTTACGACCGTTACGACCATATATGAAAACCAGGCTTTATGATGCATCTATGATATGCAAATTAGTAAGGAAGTAGAATAATTATGTCCGTAATTTCTGGCCATGGCATCATTTTTTTACTCAAGTTTTCGGGACAAATTTTTTTGCAGTGTGCGATTCTTTAGAAAGATCATTTCCATAGTTTATTTTACAAATATAAAGCATTTGCCGTGTTGATATACAGTTATATCAACACGAGTGGAAATTGGGAAAACGAGAAAGCGTGTGGAAACACGACGCCCGAAGGGCGGAGTTTTTTCACACAATTTCGAGTTTTCCCAATTTCTACGAGTGTTGATATAACTGTATATCAATACGGAAAAAATGTTTTATATTTGTTTTATAATATAGCACAAAGAAACTTAAGAAATTTTCTGACGTTTCCATGTTGACATTGAGTTATATCAGAATTTACAAATGCTATATTATAATGTCTTTTATTACAATTCATAATATTCAGCCAATCACAAAACCTGTTCATATATACAGGTATGGGGGCAGCCCTCGAAACCCATCAGTTCAACATGAAATACACTGACCTTAACTCGTCAATAATACCGTATTTTCCTGGTCAATGTTCCAACATATAAACCCACAGCGACAACACGTTATTTGGATACGGATGAATGTGAACGGCCAAAGCGAACTCGACATTTGGGTCTCCTGTAAGATGAACTCCAGTACTGTGAACTGTATCTATAACTGGATTGATGTCTGTGAACGCCATGTGCAGAGGGAAACCAGATAACTGCAAGAAAACAATAAACAGATGTCAACTTGATATTGATGGCAATCCGAGACTACATATATATTGCATATACCTAGCTCCGCCAGCAAATTAATTAAGTACCATGCATAAATTATAATGTTGAACGGTCTGGCCAGTGCATGTAGGTATAGTGCCAATTATATGACAGTGTCGGATTGATAGGGGTGCAACCATAGAGATTATAAATAACACTAGAGGAGGCATCGAGGTTAAAAATTGGGAACGCAGTTATTGGAGGGCAAATTCAAGTCCCGGATATAAAATTGTACTCTCATTGGCTGATTTGAAACTCCTCACCAATAGGAACATGAATACACATCCGGGACTTGAATTTGCCCCCAATAGCCGCGTTCCTTTTTTTACTGAATTAAGATCACAATGCCTCCTCTAGTGTTATTTATGATCTCTATGGGTGCAACTACCTGAAAAATATACGAGGAGAACTTCGACGTTTCGAGCGAAGGCCCTTCGTCGCGGGAAGTTAGTAGCCGATATATAAACAAGAATTCAGATTTCTCTGCCCAGCAGAACAAGACAAACTTTTACTAGTTTCTCATTCCGTTTTCGTCCAAATTGAATCAAACATTTAATCGATTGGTCCTTGGCATATTGCCATTTAAATAGTCTTACAAATTTTCGTATTAATACGTCTGATATTGTTAAAGCGCAAGTATACGCGAAACTCTTTTTATTAAAAGACGTTGCTTCCAGTGCATGTTTAGTGAATGCTGGCAGCGTAGATTAATTCTTGTACAGATTAATTCTCGAAAGTTTCGGATTGAAAGAGATGCAATTACCTGAAAAATACTTAGTCCGAAGGGTTTTCTCTCGAAACGTCGAAATTCTCCTTGTATTTGTCAGGTAATTATATCCCTATCAATTCGAAGCTTTCTTATTATTGCCACTTCCTACACTCAGACCGTTCAACACTATATCAGCATTAATGTAACCTTGCAGTATTATAGAGTCTCTCTGAGTTAGGATTTTGTCCGAATCGTGTTTATAATACAACAACACAGAAATCTGAAATGGCATGAGGTACACTATAGCAGTTACATTTGAACTGCACATATTCCGTATTTACTTTTTATTTGCCTTGCAAATAGCTTATAAAATCATCACATAAACATATAAATATATAAATAATCCAATAAGCCTATAGATTTCCTTGGCTGCCTGCTATATTGCATTGCTTTATTCAAGAAATATCTGAACAAAGTGACGTGGAAACAGAATTGTAGACTAGAGTCACTTTCGTGCCTTGATTTGTTAAAGGCACAGTTCGGCCTTTTGAATGATGGTTTTTAAGGCGCATTTCAGCCCTTTTAATTGAAAAAACTAAGTAGGAAAATCAATTATACACGCTTCAAGATCAGTAAACTCAATGTTTTTAACAATGTTTTAAAATGTTAAAAACATTAAGTTTGCTGATCTTGAATTATGCTTAATTGATTTTCCTACTTAGTTTTTTCAATTAAAATTAGGGCTGAAATGCGCCTTAAAAACCATTATTCAAAAGGCTGAACTGTGCCTTTATAATCATGACTTGGACTCAAACAAAATGATTTGTGACTTGGACTTACAAGAATTAAATGACTTGTTATCCAACGCAATGTAGAGTCGTAAATGTCTAGTGAAAATTAACTTTTCTACAATTGCACTGGCATAGGCGTACTGGGCGGGGGGGGGGGCCCAGTTTTTTGGGCAGTCGGGCAATATTCGATTAACAGTCGGGTAATTTTGGGTTGTTATAAAAAAAAATCGGACAAATTGTGACATTTTTTTCGAAAATTTAGTCAATTTTGTGGCAAATGTAGTGTTTTTTTTGGAAAATTTATGTCATTCTCCGAAAAATTTTGGTACGTCCGGAAAATTTTTTTGACCCCTTAAATGGTACACTGACCGAAATTTTTTTGGCGACGGGGGGGGGTGGGGGGGTCGCCAAAAAAATTTTCCGGGAAAAAATTTTTGGTACTAGTCGGGCAATTTTACGAAACGTCGGGCAATTTTCTTTCCGCCCCCCTAATTTTTTCCTTCCGGTACGCCCATGTGCACTGGCAATTCACCGATGTACAGTGACCTCTGTACAGTGACTATATATAGTGCAGCCCAATTGGCGTATCACACTATATGTGTAAGAGCTCGTAATGTATAGTATATTAATATATAATTGTCATGGGTGACTCATGGTAAAATGAACTGTACAGAATGAATTGCGGCTTAAGTGGTGCATGCATGGTCAGAGACAAAGTGACTTAACTTACTACTCGGAGTTAATGTGAATTGATTTGGACTGGCAAAATAAAACTTGCTAACAACTAATTTGCGTGGAAATAATGATATTTAATTAAAAGAAGTTATTAGGCATGCAGTTTCAAGTGCATTGTTTGCATTTAAAATAATTAAAACCTTTGTTTCAAATTTTACAAAATGAGTCGAGGACGTGCTGTCTCGAATGTTAAGGACCATTCAAAACATTCCAATATCGTAATACAGCTGAAATATTGTGATCTGTCATTTTAACCACGTCCACGGTCAAGGTGCATGCAAGCTGTTTTTCTGGTGAAATTCAAAGGCAAGTTCTCTCAAAGTCTACTCAATTCAAAGGTAATATTCTATTCAAAGGCATGCAAGGCGAGTTCTTCTTACGTTGTTTTAATATATAAAACTGTATCGAATAATATATAAAAAATTTCTCGTCTGTAACTGAAAAAAATTTCCAAAAAATTTCCTCGTCTGCAACCAGTGAACTGTCTGTAACTGAAACGAAACGGGACGCCATTTTGTTTTTGTCCGGAGGTGAATATTGCAAGGATATAATCAAGGATATCATCAAGTAGGTAAGGGATATCATCAAGTCGTCAAAAATGAATTATTATTCCTCTTTTATTTTTGAAAACAAATCGGACCACAAAGTTTAGTTTAATACGATAGATCGTGTGATTCTACTGTTGAACTGCATATTAATAAATTTGCTGACTTCTTCTCTGAAAAAAATTGTGGCAATAAGACGAGAAATTAATTCTTTATCGAATGTTGATTCTTCTAACCTAGAGCAGATTGAAGAGACGATTGTGCATGAGTTGAATGAACTCTTACCAACCAGCGTCGAAGAACTATCGTGTAGTTTGGATCCAGTGCCTGCGTCATTACTTAAGAATTGCAACATCGATTTATTACCCATCATCTGTCGGATTGTAAATCTTTCGTTTGAATCCACTATAATGCCAACTTCTATGACGCAAGCATTACTATCTCCCTTATTAAAGAAGCAATGCTTGGATTTTGAAAGTTTCCCAAATTTTAGACCGATATCCAACTTAAAATTTGTATCTAAGATTATTGAGAAAGTAGTAGCTACGCGTTTATGGGATCACCTCTACTCGAATGACTATCTAAATGAGACATTCCAGTCGGCCTACAAGAGGTAATCACAGCTGTGAAACGGCACTTATTAGAGTTCAGAATGACATATTGAAAGCCATTGACAACAATAAATGTGTGATTTTTCTGTTATTGGATTTATCAGCTGCATTTGACACTGTATAGATCACGAGATTTTGTTATATACCGGGTGGCGCAAAAAAAAGTATAACTGTTTGATTTAGTACAGCGAACAATCTATAAGGGTTACATCCCTGAAATAAACGTAGCTGTATTCATGATAGTCTAACTTAAATTTTGAGCTATAGCATGTTTATTTACGTGCAATATTGACTGAGATATCGCCAAATAAAATTTGAAACGAAGTTTTGAAAATCTGACAAATTGGCTAAAAATGGCCTATTAAACTGTTTTGATAAATTTTAGAATTTCGTCAGACATATTCGCTTGTATGAATTTAATTTGAATTGAAACGTGTAACGAATGATTTTCCTTATTTATTTATTTGTTTTATTATCATTTGAAAAGCAACAAAATTTCGAAAAAGATGGCTCTTTTAATTAAGAATTGCTTCGCAGTATTCCATGCCCCATAGCTACAGGGAATTAAATTAGATCAACAACCGAACAATTTGAGACAGCTTCGTGAAGCGATTATTGCTGATTGCCATAACTTTGACCAGCAAATAAATCCAACGTTAATTCGTTCGATAGTATGGTCACACGTGCAAGAATATAGTTATTTAATTTTCCATGATAAACGCGTTATTTACTGCCGTTGTGTTCTTCATATATCGTTAATTCCTTTACTCGTATTTAATAGGCTATTTTCAGCTAATTTTGGAACGTTTTGAAATTGCATATTCAAATTGATTTACCAATATCTTGGGTAATACTAAACAAAAATGCATGTGTTATACATCAAAATTTAAGTTAGACCTTCCTGGATAGGATAACATTTATTTGAGGAACGTAACACTTATAGTTTTTTCGCTGTACTAAATCAAACGCGTGAACTTTTTTTTGCGCCACCCGGTATAGACTGCAGTCAAAATTTGGTATCAAGGGAAAAGCGCATGCAAGCATGGTTTCGCCCGTATCTTACAGACCGCACACTTTTTGTTGATATAGATGGGAGCAGTTCATCAGTTTATTCAGTCAGTTGTGGAGTGCCACAAGGGTCGGTGTTGGGACCATTATTATATTTACTATATACGTCTCCATTGGGAAATCTAATGAGGAAACATGACATATCGTTTCATCTATGTCGGATCAGAAAGTAGATAATGGTGCTGGCACAACCGAAGTACTGATTCATTCGTTTGTCAGTTCAAGATTGGATTTCTGCAATTTACTTCAGTCTGTACGGCTTACGGCTATAAGTACGAAGTTAAAAAATTGCAAAATGTAAAAAATGCAGCAGCACGGGTTATAGCTTGCTTGCGAAAGTATGATCAAATCAGTCCAATTAACTTTAAGAAATCTACACTGGTTGCCAGTTCAAGAAAAAATCGTCTTTAAAATGAATTTAATGTGTTTCAAAATAGTAAACAACATTGCTCCTAAATATTTACAAGATCTTGTATGCCTCTATGAACCAACAAGAAAACTTCGATCGTCAGCAGACAAATGGCGTCTTACAGAACAACCATACAAACTTAAAACCTATGGATATCGGGCATTTTCGGTAGCCAGGCCAAAACTATGGAACACATGCACTACCAGTGGATATTAGATCTATAACTGACATTAGGCCTAATACTTTTAAATCGAAATTAAAGACTAACCTTTTTAAATTAGCCTACAACATATGACTCATAATTATAAGATGAATTTTATTTTTAAAATTTTAAATAATATATAGATATAAGACTTGTAACGGACGAATTTTAACACCATTTAATATATAAAAGATGTGTAAAATAGTATATACTTAATTTCAAAATGTAAAGCGCATAGAACATTAATGTATATGCGCTATAGAAATTTTATTATTATTAAAAGCACTATTCACCTCCAGAGTATATGCTAAGTTACTTTATTCCGGCAATTTGTTTTTGTCTTTGATTTAGTTTTGGGAAAGATCACAGTATGTTCAACAAAATTTTATTCCCTTTGGGAGTTGTGTTGGCTATCTCAGCTGTGGGTAAGAAAGTTCCAAATTTTCAGTGATTGAATCACAATGCTTGGTAATGTTTCTTGCCAGCATTATGCAGTTATCTGAAAAGATGTGGGAAGCTATATCTTTCAAATTACATAGGGTAATGTAATTGCTTGATAATGTAGCTATTACAAACATCTCACAATCCGTTTTTGCACAGATTTTGACAGACATTAAAATCTCATCTTATTATAAATATTTTGGCTGAATGAATTCAAAAGGTTACTATTTCCAGTTTTCAGGTCAGTGGGATGACTCTAACCCAGTGAATTAACTCTAGATATAAAACAGTTTAAGGTAATTCCGCAGTTTTGCATTGCGCACTTTTAATGCGCACATCTTATAACTTATAATTTCATCCATTATACGTACCGTTTAAAAAAAAATCATTTTATGACCATTTTATGTTATCTTTGGTTACATTCGTGCAAAGAATTACGTTAAAATAAATGTTTTCAAAAAAGGCATGCAAAAGTGTAGCTAGGGTTCCCTGTGTCTGTAGTATATTTATTTGCTTGTATTTCACGTTTTAATGCCGCAATTCCCTAAAAAGATCGGTGACCCCCGTTTTCTGACTGATAATTTATTTCTTTAATGCATTTTACATTTCATATCCGAAATTAGAAGAAAAATCATTTCTGGATCTTGAAAAAAATCCTTTATCAATGCATGTTCTCAAAGAAAGATATGTAAAGAAATGTGGAAAAGACATTTGTGAATCAGAATTGTACACGTTGGTAGTTTCATTTTGCTCAAAATACATACATTTTTTTTTTAAATAATTACAGGATAGGTTTACTAAAGCAAAATCCGCGCTAATAACGTCAATAAATATCGGGCTGTTGTGATTTTGCTGTTACTCGTAATGAGCGTCAAGATGGCGCCATAGTGAGTAAAGGTGGTATATTGTGACTGTCATATCTTCTTAACGAGTTCGGTGACCCCAACTTTTTTGTGTGATTTTACTTTAAGTATATCATAAACTCCATGCCTGGGAAGTTTCAGCACATTCTCATTTCGGGAACAATTACTGCGGAATTACCTTAAACTGACGAGACAACACATGACACCAGTTGCACTGCTGGGACAGACAGTAAAGTTTTGGCTTGGGAGGAAATTAATTTCCTGCGCAAACATTCGTAAAATTTTTGTAAATAACTGCAAATAGTTTCTGACGAATCTGCACAAAATGCTTTTGTGAACCACGAAGCAAGCAGATTCGAGATCTTCCCCTTAGACAAAAACATGTTCTGACTGCAGGATTGCCTGGTGTGCCATGAATGTTCTGTGAATAAATCTGACATTTCTGCGCAACTTCCCCAAGGAAAAAGCATTTCCTGCGCAAAATAAAACTTTTCAGTCTGGCTGCTGGTAGTATGATAAGACAATTTCCAACTTATGATCTACTGCATGTCTTTTTTTGTTTTAGGGAGTGCTCTGAAATGCAATTCTTGTGAATACTGGACAACACAACCAAAAGAACAACAAAAATGTACTAGTGCCCCAATCAACTGTCCATCTGGTTATTGTTCCACGTCATCTATTACCTACTCAAATGGCACAGAAGCTGTTGGTAGAGGCTGTGCCAACGCGGATGTTTGCCTCGACACTGAAAAAGCGTGTAACCTTGCAACAACAAAATGGAATCTGAAATCGTGTGCTGGTGCATGTTGTAATACCGATAATTGCAACAATTATACCCCCAGCAGTGCAACTCGTGTCAATTACACCCCCAACAGTGCAACTGGTGTCATGGTGAAGTTTATAACCAAACTACTTGAGCTGAAATCGGGTGCTGGTGCATGTTGTAATACCCGAGGTAATACCGATAATTACAACGATTATACCCCCAACAGTGCAACTGGTGTCATGGTGACAAAGTTTACTCTTTCCTTGATGGTGATTGTTGGTTTTATTTTTTGCTTGACTTGATGTACTTTGCGTTTTGACTGTGTAGTTTTACTGCGCAGCAAAATCCTGATTCTTATTTTAAGAAATTAATTACTTATTTTAAGTTCATTATTATACGTAAAACAAGCAAAACATTACTTGTCCGTATATTAAAATTCTTAGCAAGAGTATTTTCCTTAACAAGTAATCAAGTACTTGAAACGAGAATGTTAATTCTTATTTCAAGAAAAATAATTACTAGTTTTAAGGATATATTACTTGAGGATATATCCTTAAAGAGGATATATTACTTGTCCGTATAGTGAGAATGTTGTTAGCTACTTACCAATAATTAAACTCTTAGCAAGAATATTTTTCTTAACAAGGAATTTAGTCCTTGAAATGAGCATTTCAATTCCTATTTCTATTTCTATTTCAAGAACTAGTTTTAAGCATGTTATTAATACTTAAATCTAGTAAAACAAGCGAGGATAATTTACTTGTGTCAAGCAGTTCTCTTTTCAAAACTATATATATCTGGTTTCACCTGATCTTAAGAGTTAAGGAAGTCCTGGTCAAGTACATGAATAACAAAGATTTCCGGAAATTTTTCCATGCAGGACATTTAACCATGGACATTAATAATTCAACACAATGCATGAACGATTAGGCTAATACATTTATTTTATATAGAAAACAAGACTTATTGATATAATGATTAACGGTATTCGATCCCCTTTTAATACGCTTATCAAAATTAAATACATATAGTTATATAACACAGTCAAAATCTGCACCTGAACGATTGAAGTTTATCGCCCTTGGAAAAAATATGAATTATATACAGTACGAATGTCTTGGATATACATTATATGTCAAATTCCTTATTCCTAATTCCTTTTCAAATAAATTATCCTATACTCTATGACTATATACTGACTATAATCACTAACACTCTTAAATTTGCTGTAATCTGCTAGCAAAGATCAAACGGTTTAATGAATCAAACATCAGATAATGCAGCTGTTTGTTGTAGTTGTTCGTTTTAAATCAATTCGTTCTTCAGTCGATGTAATTTCTTCCTCTTGTGGCAATGCTGGTTATGCTATTGAATCTAAAATACACAAATAATTTTTCGTTTGTTTACTCGCAGTCGCAGAATGTTAATTGCCAATGTGACTATCACACGATATTTACAAATAGAAAATATACGATTCACTTAATACCAAGAAGTCCAAGAACTAACACGATTATGCCCGTACGTTCCATCTAAAAATAATTTATTTACATATCCCTGTTATACCCCTCTAGCTTTCAAACGTATTATTCAAATCATACCTCGTCAGTGTATGCTAACTTTTTGACTTTTTCATGCTCGACAATGCTCGACGACATAACAACATTTACGAAGGCTCACTTTCCAATTTGATTTTGAAGTCGTTTTGTACGTTTCACCACGATTTTATATTTAGCGTAATCGTATATGAACATTATTTGTCAGTACTGGAAGACGATTTTGAGCTAAATAAACCGACTTTTCTTGCAAAAATTATCATTTTAGTAAGTTATAACGACAAATTGTAATATAATCTAGGAAAGGCGACCACTATTTTATTAATTTTTTTATACTTTCTTTTTCTTCGTAGTTTTCGCAAGTTTCTACAATTTTTGGTTAGGTTAGGTTAGGTTAGGGGGTTAGGTTTGGGTTAGGATTAGGGTTAGTTTTCAGGGTTAGAGTTCCGTTTAGTGGTTTAGTGTTAGCTTTTAAAGCGTTGTCGGACCTTTAGCCGTGAAACAAGAAGGTCCGGTGTCGGACCTATAACCACGGCGTATAATCTATAATAGTGTCAATCTCGTACCCAGAGTATGCCCGTTCGCAGGTCATGCCCAGCACCTAACCTGCGAACGGGCATACTCTGGGTACGAGATTGTAATAGTGTTTGTTTTATACGCTCGCGTTCCCGAGTCCCAGGCCTCCAAGCAAATTTAAGCACGCCGAAAATTTTTGCGTAAAAGACTAAAGGGCAAAATTGCCATGTTTAAGGGTCTATAAACATCGAATTATTGAACTAAATCAAAAAGGTTCCAGAACTTATTAACTAACTTTTTCTGCTCTTTTCAAATCCGTAAAGATCCCACAAGTGATACAGGCACTTTAGATAACAATGAGATTTTCTTGGTGAGTGAATTTAATCAGAAAATGGACGTCCAGTACAACCCACCCCTTATTTATCCCGTCTTTGCAAGGATAAGGCTAATACTTACCATTTGTATGCCACAAAAATACGAAACTACAAAATTGTAACAAGTTATGGAAAAAGCACACAAATAAAACTAAATAAAAATGATTGCATGAAATTCCACCATATTGGTAAATATGGTTTGTTTAAAATTGTTCTCCTATCACGTTCAAAATAGTGCAACTGATATAAATATTGGCCTTTTTGGTAAACAATGATAAATGGTTCTGAAAATCTTTATGCATGTGTCCTCAAAAGTTTCCGTCTTTTCCACCCTCGAAAACGTCGTTGCAGAAACATCATTTCCTGTTTGCCAACATCGAAAACAAGAAAAAATTCTCCTGTGACAAACATGTGCGCTATTATAAAAATACAGCCCGCAAATGACAGAGCGCGATAGTATACCGCACCACTGCCACTAGGAACAAACGAAAATGTAGAAATAAAGAATAATACATGGGTGCGCGGAAATACCAGATTTATTTCGAGTGTTGAACATGATATCTCACGAGTGAGCGCAGCGAACGAGTGAGATATCATGTTCAACACGAGAAATAAATCTGGTATTTCCAAGCACCCATGTATTTTTCCGTTTATTATATAAAGGACAGTCTTTGAAAAGCGATAATTTTTACAGAAAGGCGATAATTGAAAAGCGATAATTTTCACATGTGAGATTATCATGAATAATCTCACATGTGAGATTATCACTTTTATCAGTGCTCGAAATCTCTATAAAACACTATACTTTATATAATAATAGGCAGTAACTTACAGTACACCAGGCAAACATTACATTAAATATTTCTACAAACTGTGTTCAGCAACCAGGCAATTGAGGCAAATTGCAAACGATCTACCGAAATAGAATTTACTATTTACTATTTACTGCAGAAGCCACATTTCAACGGATTATGATGCATCGATGATATACAAATTATAGTAAAGAAGTAGAATAATCATGTCCATGATTTCTGATCATGGCATCATTTTTTTACTTTTAACTTAAAAGTTTTCGAGACATATTTTTTGCAGCGTGCGGTTCTTTAGAAAGATGATTCCCATAGTTCATTGTCTTTTATTATAATTTTCAGCCAATCACGAAGCCTGTTTATACAGGTATGGGGGCAACCCCTGAAACCCATCGGTTCAACGTGGAATACACTGACCTTAACTCATCAATAATACCATATTTTCCTGGTCAATGTTCCAACATAAACACACAGCGACAACACATTATTTGGATACGGATGAATGTGAATAACAGCCAAAGCGAACTCGACTGTGAACTGTATCTATAACTGGGTTGATGTCTGTGAACGCCATGTGTGGAGGGAAGCCAGCTAGATAACTGCAAAAAAAGAATATTGACAAATGTCAAATTAATGGCACTCGGAGACTGGATACCTCCGTCAGCAAATTAAGTCAAGTATCATGCATAAATTATAATCTTGGACTGTCTCTGCGTGCCAGTGTAACAACTGTCTGTGCATGCCAAGAAAAGAATATTGTCAGATGTCAACTTGAGGGCACTCGGAGACTGGATACCTCCGTCAGCAAATTAAGTCAAGTATCATGCATAAATTATAATGTTGAACTGCTGGCCAGTGTAGGTATTGTCAATAGACCATTTGCATTATAGACTAAATTTTGATCTAGACAAAAATTTCATCACAGCTTGAAAGAGCATCGCAAAATTAGTAATATTCCAAAGTTTCGTTGCGAAATGTTGTAAAATGCGGATAATATATAGCCATGCGAATTTTGCCGTTTTTCAGTCATTTTGTATTATGCACGCGAAATTCACAGCCCAATCGGGTGTTGGGGCATCAATTTCCCGTTTGTAATACAAAATGACTGAAAATTGTAAATTTCGCAAGGCTATATAATCCGCATTTTACAACATTTCGCAACGAAACTTTGGAATATTACTAATTTTGTGATGCTCTTTCAAGCTGTGATGAAATTTTTGTCTAGATCAAAATTTAGTCTATAATGAAAATGGTCCATTATAAGAAAGCTTCGGATTGATATAGGGATACAACTACCTGAAAAATACAAACAATTACAGGGACCACAGAACAGGGGGCCGGGGGGCATGGCCCCCATTTTTTCGGTGGATAATAAAAAATTACCGGATAAAATCCAGCCTGCGTGGAATAGCTCCCGTGCTATCCTGCCAACACACACATATATACACACTTTTAAACAGGTTCCGCGGTCCCTGAATTAAAACCGTTGTTTCAAATTTTAGAAAATGAGTCGAGGATGTACTGTCTCGAATGTTAAGGACCATTCAAAACATTCCAATATCGTAAGGGACCGGTAATTATTAATAATGGGAGGGGTGGGAGACTGCAGGATTGCCTGGTCTGCCATGAACGCTCTGTGAAAATATGACATTTCTGAGCAACTTTCCCAAGGAAAAAACAGTTCCTGCGCAAAATAAAACATTTCAGTCTGGCTGCTGGGGGTATGACAAGACAATTTGCAACTAATGATCTACTGCATGTCTTTTTTAAAAAGTTTCTTCATTATTTATTTGAAATAAACAAATAATGATCTACTGCATGTCTTTTTTTGTGTCAAGTATCATGCATAAATTATTATGTTGAACAGTCTGTGCCAGTGTAGGTACGGTGGCAATAATAAGAAAGCTTTAGATTGATAGGGATACAACTACCTGGTCCTGGAAAATACAAGGAGAACTACGACATTTCAAGCGAAGGCAATTCGTCGCGGGAGGTTAGTAGCCGATAAATCATTCTGTGCCAGTGTAGGTATATATAGCCTCGGATTGACAGGGATACAACTACCTGAAAAATACAAGGAGAACTACGACATTTCAAGCGAAGGCCCATCGTGGCGGGAAGTAAGTAGCCGATAAATCATTCAGATTTCTCTGCCCACCAGAAGAAGACAAACTTCTGCTAATTTTCTCATTCAGTTTTCGTCCAGATTGAACTAAACATTTAAGAGGCAATTTTTTTCAATGTCACGTATTTGCGATGAAAAGTGTTCAAAACCTAAAATCTTTTTGGCGTTCCTCTCAAAATTACTTTGTTTTAGCTTTATTCTCTAGTTTATAGAGTTTGCAACCTTTTTAAATACATCTGCCGGTTGACAAACATAAAATAATAGTTAAAAATTGTCAATTAAAATACAATTATCAATGATGCGTTAAAATTGACGCCATATTTACAGCCATGTATAAGCAAAACTTACTGAACTTCATTTTCTCTTTGGCGTATCATCTAAAATCTCTTCATTTTAGCATTATCTTACAGATAAAGCGCTAAACATACTTTTTAAGCTTGTTTGCCGATTGAGAAAAGTATCGAAAAACTAAAATTTTGAATTTAGTCATAACCTGAAGTGGTATATTATACGCATTAGTTTTGAGTGCGTGTTACGTAACATACAAAAAAATCTCCTCTTAATCGAATCTCGTAGTCTGAACATACTTTTCAGAAACCTGTACTTTATGAACCATATTTTAATGACTAAGTACACATTGAGTATTGAGTTTGTACCAGTGCAAGTATGTGGCAATAATAATTGGCGTACCAGTCAGGTCAGAGAAATGGCGCGAGGTACACTAGCAGTTACATTTGAACTGCACTTATTCTGCATCTATATTTACTGTTTATTTACGTTTGCCTGCGAAATAGCTTATAAAACCATTACATACATATAAATTATCATATATAGATTGCCTGGGCCGCCTGTTATTGCGTTGTTTTAGTCAAGAAAATGAAATATCTGAACAAAGAGACGTGAAAACAGAGTTGTAGACTAGAGTCATTTTTGTGACATGACTTGTTAATCAGATTAACGACTTGTGACTTGACTTGGACTCGAACAAAATGACTTGTGACTTGTTACCAACGCAATGTAAAGTCGTACAATGTCTAGTGAAAATTAACTTTTCTACAATTGCACTGTACATTGGCATATCACACTATACATGTGCAAGAGCTCGCTGGGTCACTCCCTAGTAGGGTTGGACGGTATTAAAAAAATCAACTCATGATTATTGTCGAGCAAATTATCACGATATTCGATAATATCACGATAAACGCAATAAAACAATGACCACATTTTTCAGTTTTAATTAATATCAAAGCATAGTAAGCTTATATATAATCTTATTAAAAACAAGGAAAATAACAAATTAAAGTAATATGAAGGCTTTTCTAGTCTAATATTTACTGTTTATAAACCTAACTGTCTATGCAGTGTCTACAGTGTCTCCGCAGACACAAATGCCATGGGCACACAGCGCAAGCAAAGCCTGCAATTTCATTGTTCAGCAGCTTACTAACTTACCAAGACTTACTAACCACCCGTTCCGCACGTTGTAACCAATAGTTTATTGGCGTTGTAATGCCATTGTATGCAATAAAGTATTGGGTTGTAACTGAAGCTTACTAACTTACCAAGGCTTACTAACTTACCAAGGCTTACTAACTTACCAAGGCTTACTAACTTACCAATGATTACTAGATTACCAATGATTACTAGATTACCAAGGATTACTAGTTTAATAGGTTTTGTTTGTGGAAACACCACGTAAATTTATTACTGCAAAGCTTTCGATCCGTAAGCCCGGATCTTCATCAGTGCTAATAATATGTTATTAATAATACGTTATTAATAATATGTTATTAATAACAGGATTAATAACGTTATTAATAATATGTTATTAATAACAGAATTATATGCTTACGGATCGAAAGCTTTGCAGTAATAAATTTACGTGGTGTTTCCACAAACAAAACCTATTATATTTTATCACCATGCAAACATACAAAGAACTGATTACTAGTTTACCAAGGATTACTAGATTACCAGTGATAAGTAGGGATTATTAGGATGTATAAAAGTTAGAATGGTATATTGATGACCGTAACACCAGGAATTAACTAATATATCGTATTAAATTCGTATTTGATTCCGGAAATAGTTTTAATTCTTTTAAAAACTACATTTTCTAGATATTGAAGGAATTTTTTTTAGGATTTTTATAAAAGCTATATACACATGCGAAGCAATATCTGCACGATACTCATCGAGCATGACAATAATTTCGATATATCGTCGCTCAAGTTTCTACCTTCGATACGATAATCGTGATTGAAAATATCGCGATAAATCAAAATATCGAAATATCGCCCAACCCTACTCCCTAGTTCATGGTAAAAGGAACTGTACAGAATAAATTGCGGCTTAGTATTAGTGGTGTATGCATGGTCAGAAACAAAGTGACTTGCGACATAACTTACTACTCAGATTTAATATGAATTGATTTGGACTGGCAAAATAGAACTTGCTATATAACAACTAATTTTGCGTGGAAATAATGATATTTAATTAAAAGTAGTTATTAGACAGTTTCAAGTGCATTGTTTGCATTTAAAATAATTAAAACCTTTGTTTCAAATTTTACAAAATGAGTCGAGGACGTCCTGTCTCGAATGTTAAGGACCATTCAAAACATTCCAATATCGTAAGGGAACGGTAATTAATAATAGGAGGGTGGTTGATAAATACCAAATATTGAACTTTTTTAGAGCCGCCCCAATCGCAAGACCTTTATTTTCAAGACGCCCCCACCTTCATCTAGAAAATTTAAGACCTCCCCCCTCCAATATTTAACTTGTTTCAATTTGGCGGTGGGGGACTGCAAGATTGCCTGGTCTGCCATGCATTTTCTGTGAAAATATCTGACATTTCTGCGCAACTTTCCCAAGGAAAAAACATTTCCTGCGCAAAATAAAATTTTTTAGTCTGGTTGCTGGGCGTTTGATAAGACAACATTTTGTGGTGTAAAATAGGTGATTAGACAAGTACTGGTGTAAGACATTGTGTAGCCTAAATAATGAGAGGGCCAGTATTCAAAATGGTTGTTATTTACTCCGACTCCTATGGTGAACAGCATATACGTAATAAACTATGGCAACTACGATTATAGGAACTAAAAAAGGTGAAACATTTTGTGGGGTATGATAAAGGCGAGAGATTGAAAATGAGTAAGAAAGTATTAAAAAATTGGGGTCGCCACTTGCATGTCACATATTTTTCAGTTTGAGGCCGCCCCCAATTCAGGCAAAAATATTAATAGTTCAAGCCGCCCCCCCCCCCTTTCTCACCCACCGCCCCCCTCCCATTATTAATGACCGGTCCCTATAAATACAGCTGAAATATTCTGATCTGTCATTTTAACCACGTCCACTGTCAAGGTTGCAAGCTGTTTTTCTGGTGAAATTCAAAGGTAAGTTCTCTCAAAGTCAAATGAATTGAATTGATTTAATGACTACTGACTTTGTAACCCAAAAAGGTTAAATTACACCAGTATTACATAAATTAAGAGGATAAGTTAAAATTACATAATAATTACATATTTAAGATTATTTACATTTCTAAAAACTTATTTACTGTTAATCTTTAATATACAGGGCCGTAGGAAGCTCTTTTCGATTGGGGGGGCTGAAAGCGAGGGTCGAAGGCCCGAGGAAATTTTTAAATTTAGAGTCTCTAAAATGCCATTTCCTGGACTTTGGGGGAAGATTTAACAGAATTCTGATAGTCAGAAAACAGCGTTTTAGTATGTCGAAATTTACAGGAAAGTATGGGCCAGACTGTAGTATTATAAATGCGCGGCGGGAATTTTCGTCGTAAATGGCAGTTGCGCGGAAATGAAGGCAGAACATTTGAGAAAATTTCGAAAATCTGGAGTCTCTAGATGGTCTGAAATGGCATTTTCAGAGTTTTCTTTCGCAAGACCCAACACGCAAAAGACAAAATAAATCATTAGTTCATCAAAAATGTGCAGATTTTGTGGGATTTTCTTGAAAATGCGCGACAGAAATTCAGCTAAAATTTCTACGCGAGGAACGATCTGGAGTATGAGTAATATCTTCATTCTTTGCAGTTTGTCACAGATTAAATGATAAAGTTTGCATGATTTTGAAAAACGAATGATTATTAGCAAATTATTGGGGGGGGGGGGCTGCAGCCCCCCGGTTGCTACGGCCCTGATATACTTTGAGGTAAAAACGAATTCTTAAAACGTTCGGTTCTGCAAACATAATTATGATATTTACATATACAAACATAATTATGATATTTACAAATGCTATTCAATTCAAAGGTAAATGATATTCTATTCAAAGCCATGCATGCAATGCGAGTTCTTCTTAAGTTGTTTCAATTGTTAGCAGTTCACGTTCTACTTTTAATATATAAAAGTATACACCGAATAATTTATAAAAACTGGGCGTATAAGCATCTGCATGTGATTGAAAATTAGACATATAAAAACTGGGCGTAAAGCATCTATGCATGATTCCAATGATATTGCTGATATATTCGACCATAGGACATAAGAATCCATGCATACTCTCCGAAACTAAGTAATTAGTTTTGAGAATTGACGTTCCAATATTGAACCGCTTCGTTTCAATTCTATTCTGTAATGTTGCATGATGAAGGGCCTTCGCTCGAAATGTCGAAGTTCTTCTTGTATTTTTCAGATAGTTGCATTCCTATCAACCAAAGTTTTGTTATTATTTCTTTCTACTGTAATGTATTGTATTCTGTTTTGTTTTATCTTCTTTTCAATCTCACAAGCCAGGCTCTTCCCCGTCGCTTCCCTTCGAAAATACGCTACGGTATATTTCTTTATTCTATTTAACAAGTAGATAACATTTTGCCGTTGTCGGTTTGGTGGTTGCTCCGACTCGTGGACAACATTTTTGTTCTTAGGCCCGGTCAAGACGGAGAAAGTTTTCATGCACTGAACCTAAATACAACGATTAAGTGCGACAGAAGAGCAGCGTCTAAATCAATTAAGTTCGGAAGTTTTGATTAGGTTAGACACGGCACACAATATGGTAAATCATGTCGATCATGCGGGGGGCGGCTTGAACTATTAATATTTTTTAGACGCCGTGCTTTCCAGGCACCGAACCTAATGCATCAATTTTTTAACGTACAGTATCATATGATTATGATATATTAGGAATTTAGTACTGAAATTTCTGATATAATTTACTTGTATTTGGCGCTATTACAATTTTGATTAGGTTCGGCGCATGAAATCGCTGTCTAAACCGGGCCTTACCACTATTCTTACCACGCCTCTGTGTACCCATGGATCACAAAAACACTTTTGAACTATCCATGGTGTATCTACAGTATATATAACTGCGCAGATAACGGTTATATGTTTGTTAAGTATAAGAAAGTTTAAAAAACTTAACTCTTAAGGGCGACGGAAAGAGTTACACCCAATATCACGTGATATATGACCAATGCAAAACAATGCATGCCATTGGTTCGTGGTGGTTCTGAGAGCGCTGTGATTGGCTTAAAGATATTACGTCACAACCATGTTCGTCATTCCAAAGAATAAAAGGCAAAACGATTTGAGGTTATACTACATTATATGTCCTAACATGCATGTATACACTATTCTTATCTGTGATTGCCAATTCGATATTGCTTATCAATATTGCTTATCAATCCATATTTATTCAGAATTTCGACCAATATTTAACAATTATTCACCTCAGTGTTGTTGAATAGTGCAAATATATTCACCGAAACGCGAAGCGGTGAACATGCGTCCTTGCACTATTTAACGACACTGAAGCCCCGTTTACACTACGCTCAATTTTTGGTACGGGACGAATAAAAGTGGTACCCGCACCACTTTTTTGGTTCTTGGACTACCTATTTAGATAGTCCAAGAACCAAAAAAATGGTACAGTACCAATTTTATCCGTGCCGTACCAAAAATTGAGCGTAGTGTAAACGGGGCTTGAGAGTCTGAGGAGAATAATTGTTTTAGGGGCGGACCATTTGATTTTTGAGGGGGGAGGTGGAAGATTCAGTCTGTGCAAGAATTTTTTTTCCGCCCAGGCGAACGAGACAGATATTTTTTTCCTGTAAAAGTGCAGCGCAAGATATTTTTTTTCCCAATATATTTGGCCGCAGGATATTTTTTTTGCCTCTCATAATAACGGCTTACAGTAACTTTAGGCTTTCATATAGCTATCATCGGAGACGTAGCAGGGGTTTTCAGTCAGAGGAGGCCGAGAACTGAATCCCAAGAGGGGCCAAGGAATTTTCACTGTGCTTTATTTTATATATGGTTATGTCTTAATGTTCCCCACACTAAAGCGTGCAAGTTTACTTACAAAGAATGTATAACTGCACCAAAACCTAAAACATACAGGGATAGAGTAGAGTACTCGAAAATGGGGGAGGGTACAGTATATGAATGACCTGTAACCTTGGGGGGTTCGGGGGCATGCTCCCCCGAGAAAATTTTAAAATTTGAACCTCGGAAATGCTATTTCCTGCGTTTTCAGCCATGGATAATTATCTTAAGCCCAGATTTTCTCAGGGGGGGGGGGCAACAATTTTGCCAGGGAACACCACTGGCTATCGTATATCAGAGGCTCCAAAGGCGGTAGAATCCCTGTGATGTTATCCACTGTTCACCCCGTGTTCTTTTAAGCAAATGTGCCTGCTCCAAAATGCAAAATCTTGCAAGCCTGTGGACACAATACTGAAGTGAAGAGCTTCAGTAGAGTTACATGTAGAAAATTTTTTTTTGAGCGCTCTCTTTTGCATGATATTTTTTCTTCTGGATTGTGTGCTGCATGATTTTTTTTTTCTTTCTCCTTGGGTTGCAGGAAATTTTTTTTCGAAATCTTCCACCCCCCCCCCCTCAAAAGTCAAATGGTCCGCCCCTTAGCATACCTGTATACCACAACAAAACAAAAATGACCAAAAAACAGCGAACATATTTTTAAAACAATTTGTATTTCAGCCCTATATAGTTGTAAACAAAACAGTATTTACACACTCAATTTTAGTAATTTTATTCATTAGAAATAGCTTTAGGAATACCTCTACACACTGTTAAACAAAAACCGCAGCTTCATTTAGTACAAAAATTCGCTCGTCTGTAACTGAAACGAAACGAGAAGCCATTTTGTTTTTGTCCGGAGGGGAATGTTGCGAGGATATCCAGAGCAACCAATCAAATTGCGTGAAAAGCACTATTCACCTCCAGAGTACATGCTAAATTACTTTATTCAATTTGTTTTTGTCTTTGATTTAGTTTTGGAAAAGATCACAATATGTTCAGCAAAATTTTATTCGTTTTGGGAGTTGTGTTGGCTATCTCAACTTTGGGTAAGAAAATTTCCAAATTTTCAGTGATTGAATCACAATGCCTAATAATGTTCCTTGCCAGCAATACTGGCAGTTATCTGAAAAGATGTGGGAAGCTATATCTTTCAGATTACATAGGATAATATAATTGCTTCATAATGTAGCTATTATAAACACCTCACAATCCGTTCTTGCAAAAATTTTGACAGACATTAAAATCTCATCTTATTATACGTATTTTGACTTTAAAATGGACCATTCCCCAATTAACCAAAATTTTGATCTCAACAAGTTTAGACAAAATTTCATCATAGCATGAAAGAGCATCACAAAATTAGTAATATTCCAAAGTTTCGTTGCGAAATGTTGTAAAATGCGGATCATATAGCCTTGTGAAATTTGCAATTTTCAGTCATTTTAGATTACAAACAGGAAATGGTTACCACTTTTCCAAAATTTTGATCTTAACTAGCCTAAACAAAAATTTCATCACAGCTTGAAAGAGCATCACAAAATTAGTAATATTCCAAAGTTTCGTTTTAAATGTAAAATGCGGATAATATAGCCTTGCGAAGTTTGTAATTTTCAGTCATTTTGTATTACGCACAGAAGTGGTATACCATTTCCCGTTTGTAATCTAAATGACTGAAAATTGCAAATTTCGGAAGGCTATATTATCCGCATTTTACAACATTTCGCAACGAAACTTTGGAATATTACTAATTTTGTGATGCTCTTTCAAGCTGTGATGACATTTTTGTCTAGACTTGTTTAGATCAAAATTGTGGTTAATTGGGGAATGGTCCATTGGCTGATTAAATTCCACAGGATACTCTATCCAGTTCTAGTTTTCAGGTCAGTGGGATGACCACTGCCGGGTCTCTAGATATAAAACAGTTTAAACTGACAGAGACAAGACATGACACCAGTTGCACTGCTGGGACAGACTGAAAAGTTTTGGCTTTGGAGGAAATTAATTTCCTGCGCAAAAATTCTTGCAATTATGGAGATCTGCGCAAAATAACTACAAATAATTCCTGAAGAATCTGCACAAAATGCTATTATATTTGAACCGGCAAGAACCAAGCAGATTTCTGATCTTTGTCTTTGATAAAAGCACTTTCTGACTGCAGGACTTCCTGAACTGCCATAACTAATTTTCTGTGAGAATATCTGACATTTCTGCGCAACTTTCCCAAGGAAAAAACATTTCCTGCGCAAAATAAAACTTTTCGGTCTGGCTTGGGGGTATTATAAAACAATTTCCAACTAATGATCAATTGCATGTCTTTTTTTTTGTTTTAGGAAGTGCATCTGGTGTCAAACTGACTACCGCCACCAACAGTACAAGTGGTACCTCCGGCAGTACATCTGATGTCATGGTGACCAAGTTTACTCTTTCCTTGATGGTGATTGTTGGTTTTATTTTTCTTGACTTCATGTACTTTGCCTTTTGACTGTGTAGCTTTACTGAACTTTATTTAACTCAATTGTTGTAATTTGCCTGAGTGTAATGAGATTATGTGGTAAAACTGTATGTTTAAAACAAATTGTTTAAAACATGTAGCGTTATTAGTTTGGGTTAATTTAGAAGGTGACTATATGTAATAAATTGATAAAAGATAAAACCAATTCGTTCCTTAAGGGCATGTGTAATCAAATGTACTATAGTTTTGAACTAATGTGGACCAGTTTTGTGTATACTATTAAAAGTAACTTTATTTATACTGGACAGTCTTAAAGGACAATGGCAACAAAATTTTTTATTGTTTATATTAAAAGTGTTTCTTCATCTAACTATAAATATGATATTAATACCGTGTCAAACATTTTTGTTCAGGAGTTATATGCATGTTATTTCACTGTTAATTTATATATCGTCGGCCATCTTGGCTCGTATTTGCGAAAAATTATCTTTTGGGTAATATGACCCGTATGACGTAGATGGCAGGGTGCGTGTATCGAGATTTAATACGTTTTCTCAAAACATTAATGCTTTTGAGTCATTTTAATGGAAAATATTCACGAGAACCAAGTAGGAGAAGTGTTATCATACCAATATGAACCAGAAGTAGGAGAAAAACAAGCAATATTTTAATTTTGGGATAGGTATAAATATTAAAATATAGGACCTCTACATGCGTCTTGGACCTTTGGTTTGTGGTTTACTTATAATAATTTATTTAATGGATTTCTTTTATTTTCAACGGTGTATAATTGAATGTGGACCATGCCGTTAAATATTGTGTATTTGGTGCACGCGTATAATGCGTGCCGCGTGCGCTGTTTTGTGTCTTTTTATGCCAATCCATTGTAGAAATAGTATGCCGCAATTGAAGCTAGTATGTTCTGTAAAGTTATTACCTGGCAACGCTTCCCTTTTCAATTGTATTCTAAACCTTTCATTGCACTGTATTCGTTTTAAAAACTTTGGCGACTGTCCTTGTTCATACGCGCCTTCGGCAAAATGAAGTGAGCATATATTCTAGTCACATCGTGATTCGTGCATGGCGACGATGGTATTAATGCTTTGCGCTTATAGACCTTATACAGAATTCAATCAACGCTTTTCTCCTATATTGCTGATCTACCGATTTGCCCTTTGGAAAATTGAAGAAACAGATTTCACTTGTGTGTTGGCTGTCACTATTACAACCGTAGACGGCAATACATGTTTTGCAGTGCACCTTATACGTTTTACATGAACAATCTAGATATTTTCGTTATTCAAGCCGTACTCAGAGCTGACTATATATAATATTTGCAATTTCGGTAATATATATATATTCCCACACGTGAATTTAGGGGATTTTACATAACAATGAAAATATTGATAATATTGGGAACTAACACTACAGTACATGCATATATTTACCTATATAAAATGAGAACCAAGTAAAACTACATGTAAAAATACATCACAACATATAACCAGATTATAGTTATTTTACACTTATCTCTTGTCTGGGAAAATCCCATGCTGACCTTGAATGTCAATTTACTAATTTGGGCAATGTCTAACTTGCGCGACACTACACATTACAGAAATAAGCAAATCTCGCTTGTGAGATAACAGCTATTTCACTTGTATAGCAATGTCGTTTGAAAGCCTGCTTAGTTTTAAAAACAATTAATAGTTGTGAAATCTGAAGCTAGAATTCTCCACTGCAACATTGTTGCAGTTCCGCCAGTTAAGTTTTGTATTAATAATAATAACAACACGTTGAAACACTAAATACTCAGTAGAATCTTTTATTTCAATGCAAATTATTTCTATATTTCTGCAACAGAGCATGCACATACATAAATGTATATGCTATACATATATACATACATTTGGAATATATGATATGTGTAATTGGAACAGCAGAACTACCATAACCGGAGTCAATGTCTAAGCGCATTACAACGCAAATATACGCTTACTGTCGAAAACACAATCACAGACCATTGGTAGTAAGTTGCTACACATGATTGAACTATGAATACACGTTGCAACGTATCTGTATTTTTTTTTGTAAACATTTTCTTCCAAATCTCAACGTTGTTACAGTGTAACTTATACTGTGGGATTTGCGTTTACCCTGCCATCTACGTCACGAAATGTATTCATGCATAAATTAGCATACGCGGAATTTTCCCAAGATGGCGGACGACTGTTAAAATTTGTTAAACATTTTCGCAAATTATCTGAACAACTAAATGCAATGGACAAACAAAAATATGAAATTAAATATTCCATTAGTAAGCTTAATAAATACAGACAATAAAAAATTTTGTTGCCATTGTTCTTTAAGCATAATTTAAAACACGCGTAGGAGTGTTTGATCATATTTAGGTGAATAAGATGCTTGTGATGTTACTCTGAGTGTATATCCACTAGATTGGTCGGAGTAAAAAATTGGGGTTATGTAGGAAGTTTATAAGCATTTCCTTACACTTCTTAGGATTGAGCTTCATGTTATGTAGCAAATTCATGTATTTCAGAGACTGCAAAATTAAGGAGGCTGATAGAGTTCCTAGGAATAATCTCGAGGGCTGAAGTATCATCCACGAATTTTGTACGAAGATGCCAATTAACCAGTAAGCTATTTCTCATGACCATAAAAAGTACTACTCCGAGTTTAGTCCCTTGGGGTATTCCTCCCTTCAGAGTTTGCCATTGGGAGAGGACACTTCCAATTCTAACAGCCTGCCTATGATTGAATAAAAACTTGTTGACGACATAAATATACAATTTGAATGCACTAGAAGTAGAATACAATACAACAAGGTTTAAAATAACAAATGACTCATATGCTCTGAGATATGGGAGTCTCGCCTTTGACTGGAAAAGAACGCTCAATCTCAACCATGTCTAGTATACTCGCTCACAAACACATGCACAAACACCCATGCAGTCTCCGCTTCTGATTTTAAAATCCTATCATCAGGCACTTCTGAGTGGGATCTTCTTGTCCGTGAAAGCCTATTAATTTCTCAACTTAACCCTGTCCTTAATGCTAATATTAGATCTACCCCTCTTGAGTTATTTCAACCTCGTTAAGAGCCTGGGAACGAGGTTGGAGTTATTTTAGTTATGTAATATTAACCTTAACTGTCTTAACTATACTATAACCATGCTACGGTGGCCCATACGGGCCAACCCTTCTTCGTAGAAACTTGCACCTTCTCCGTACAAATGTGTTGTTATTCCATGGAAATCAAACTTCTCTAACTGTGGTGGAATATTGCCGTTGTTCTGTCACGGAAAGCCTTTTCTCCGTAGAAATATGCAGTTTCTCCGTGGAAACACGCATCTTCTCTGTGGAAACACGCAGCTTTTCTGTGGAAACACCGCAGCTTCTCCGCGGAAACGCGTCGATGTTGACTTGTGGCTTTATTTTCTCTCCCCCCCGTCATATAAAACCAATAAATATTCAGGGGGGCGTGCCTTTTTTAATTCACAAGGAAAGTGGCTCATCCACGGAGAAGGCACGTGTTTCTACGGAGAAGCTGCATGTTTCTGCGGAGAAGAGGTGCCCCGTTCGGGATATAGATTCATGTCTCGCTAATAGGGTTAGCGGTTAGGGTTAGGGTGGGGATTAGGGTTAGTATTATAAATAGCGAGACATCAATCTATAACCCCCGTTCGGGCCACCGCATCGTGTTTCACATAAATGCTACGCGTTTCCGCGGAGAAGCTGCGGTGTTTCCACAGAAAAGCTGCGTGTTTCCACGGAGAAGATGCGTGTTTCCACGGAGAAACTGCATATTTCTACGGAGAAAAGGTTTTCCGTGACAGAACAACGGCAATATTCCACCAGTTATAGCCTGCGTAGCAGGCGTTTAGCTGACGGGCGGGTACAGAGGGAACGCCTGCCCAAATTGGCTATGACAGTTTGTTTTCGCCCATTAAGGATGATTGACGTTTTGTAATTAGCACCTTCACCCATTATCCAATCATAGTCGAGATTTATATTTAGCATCATGCATGCTTTTTGCTCGGCAACTAGGGAGATTTGCAGAGATTTTATGCACTATTTAAAACACGAGCAGCAGTGTTTTATCAGATATAAAGATGGTCTGATAATACACGCACTGCGAATGTTTTAAATTGCTTCAAAAACGATCGATCTAGTATACGTTCATTGGCGATGTAGCTTTCAAAAAATTCGGCGTGTATATGTAGAGAAAATCATTAAAATTTATGTAAATCAAGGGAAATCTTAGCCCGCGTGCAGGCCCAAGGGAACTGATAGTGGGCCTGCAAGCAAGGCCCGGTATTTTGTAAAACGCCCCTTTTCATAACACGCCCCATTCGCGCGTCAATTGTCAAAAAAGAACCAATGACAGCACCCAAATATTAACAAACAAAACTCGCATTAAAATGTTGCGGGGTTTTCTCTGCATATTCAGAACATAAACAATGTGTAAATGGCAGCGTTTTAACTCCAAAAAAGCAAGCAACGCCGTCAGTAATTGCCAAATTTGCAAGTGCTCATTTTCAACTAAAATCGGAACAGGCAAATTAGGACGAATTTCAACAGAAAACCAGTCTCAAACTTCAAATCGTGAGGGAAGTCGTGCGACCACATTAGCATTTATATTGTGTGTGCTTCGCTGTCGCCATTGGCATTGTTATAAATAATTAAATTGCCTCACTTATCAGATCGTGTGTGCAATTCTTGTTGGCGGCGGAAAGTACGAAATTTATTTCAGTTATTTCATTTGGTAAAGAACTCTACAAAAGAAGAGAGCGTTCAGAGTCCAGATCGTTTCGTTTCAAACGGCAATTTTAATAATACCGTCTTCTGTTTCGCTCTCTCAGCGAAGCCTTGTAAATCGCAAAGTGTTTCGAACAGGCTAGGCTTACATGCAACTGCATCTCAACATCAACCAAAAGATAATTTTCTTGAGGAACATATAACGTATCAAGTCTGTTTGAAATTAATGAAACTCAAGTAAAGGTTACTATAGTTTACACCAGTCGTAATGTTGCTATTCCAACACCTCACGACAAGCAATCCCCATTGGCATAACGGCAAAAACAGCTATTCCTTCAAGTAAACAATAAACAGTCTGTTCTTGTTCCATTTATAATCGAAAAAAGTGATCAATTTTCGAATTTTGAGCTTATCGAGAGCCTTTGTGATGAATCACTGACCTAATTATAGAATCTAACAGCAAACAGCCAATCAGAATGCCGCGTTCGTGGGCGAACGCGGAAAGTACAAAATACCGGGTCTTGCTTGCAGGCCCACTATCAAGTTCCCTTGAGCCTGCTCCCTTGGGCCTGCACGCGGGCTAGGGAAATCTCTATCACATATCAAGGATACGACGAGGTCGGGAATCTTCGAGTTAAGCCCTTCGAGTTAAGCCCCTCGAGTTAAGCCCTTTTCGAGTT